TTCAGTGGGTCTGTGTGTTTGCTGTCGTGTTTATTAAAAAATAATTTCCATGCTCAACTTGGCAATGCTGCCTAAGCCGTCAGGAAAACATCCGCCCACTTCCAACCCCCAACAGCCACCTTCTCCTTAAGAGTGTGTGAGTGTGAGTGTGTGCCATCAACAGTTTGCATTCTCAAGTGTCCCAGGGAAAACATTTGAAACAATAAGCTCGCAGGACCGACCTGCCACCCCCTGGAAGTCCACCCACCACCACCCACATGGCCCCTCATGCAAATTCAATAATGCGACATCGACAACAACAACGACGACACTAAATTATTCAAGCCGGAAAACGAAGGAGAAAAAATGTAAATCTGTGATTTTAATGCGTTTGCCAACTGTAAACATAAACCGAAAATATTACAAACTTGTGCAAACAGGCGGAGCAATAAAAAGTGAAGAAATGCCGTGGGGTAATGCGCGCCAGTACAAAAGAAAAGAGAAATGAATACGAAACGAATACGAATACGCGTATGTCAATTTAATGGGCGGAAACTGTTTTGCGTGGGCGTGGCACATGCCAAAGTGCCCCACCGCCAGACGCCCAGCCACCAAAAGAAATATGAAATATTTATATGAACATTTTCATTTATTGAGCGTAACAAATGTGCACAAAACAAGGCGAAATCCAGCGGGTGTGGGAAAGTGATTCACGGCAAAAGGCGAAGGACACCGGCGGAGCGCAGAGCGCAGAGCTCACCTGTGCGGGCTTTTGTGCGTGCAGGATTGCCATCATCATAATCATTGGCAGATGGCCCTGTCCTTCACCCACAACCATCCAGCCATCCACTTTCCTCGCCGCCCACTCTCTCCGCCGCGAGAGACAATCTGGCCCCGCCCCCGCTGCCTCCCACCCACTCGAAACTTTCGTCATAAATACTGTGTCTACAGTTATTATGAGCTAGTAGAGAGGGTATTTCAATGTCCTTTAGAACTATGAAGCATCTTGATTAATTGTATATTAAGCAAAGGAAATGTTATTCCAAATATTAAATTATATCAGTATGAAAAGTATTGATAATTGTTTTCTCATTTTAATAGATATCTGATTTGCTTAATCTAATTCGATCTTAAAGAATTCTAAATTACTTTGTTAATATATTTCATTAATGATTAAAAATAGTAACCAATAAATATTAAGGTCAATAAAAAATAATTTGAATTTATAAATTTAAACCAAGCAAGTCATAATCTATTTATCTTGTAAACATTTATATTTTAGGGACTTTTTAGGGCATATAAAACTTCGGTTTCCCACGCAAATTCTGCACGGTTTTTTGTGTTTTTTGTGTGGGACCTGCTTTCTTTTGTTTTCGCTTTCGCTGCCTTGTGCTCTTGCTTTCGTTTGGTTTCGTTCTTTTGTTTGTTTATTTGCTTGTTGCGGCATTCGGGGAAATTATTATATTTTAATTACACATGCGTTTGCCGTCGCTGCGCAGTTGCAGCGCTGCCGGCGTCAAGGCAAGGCAGTGGCAGAGGCAGTGGCAGAGGCAGCAGCAGAGCAAACAACGGAGAATGGCCCAAAAAAATAACCGCAAAAATGTAAATGAAAATGGCGTGAAAAATCAGTTTCATGGTTTTTATATCCCTGTTTATTTGTTGTAAATGAGCACATTTCGTTGGCGGAGTGGGCGGCGGCGGGGCGTGGCAGTGGGTGCGGACATAACGGAAGTTGATTATGACCATTTAGCATGGCCATGGCCAACGTCGATCCTCGAACGTGGCCAAAAGTGTGTGTGTGTGTGCGGGTGTGTGTTGTGTGTTATTCGTCCTGTTGCTAACGCTTTCGCTGTTGTGTCAGCCTAATTAATTTTTGTCACTAATGTTTATATAGTTGGTAACGGTAACAGTAAAGGTAACGGTAGCGCTAACGGTAACGGAACAGGTGCTGTTCAACACTCGGCCAAGCAGCTTTATTACCCAATTACATTAGCGGGAGTGGGTGTTGTTTTTCTTAGGGGGAGGGGTACTACAATGAGTTTCCTTACAAATTGAAGTTTTTTTTTATTTTCCGAAAAACACAGCCAAGATACATTATACTTAATAAGGGTACTGCTTAAGCAGTTAATTAGTTTTTATATACTTGGATTTTTCAAGAAATCATTTTTTTGCATCTTCAAACTAAAAAAAAAAATTAAGGTTTTTTTTTATCGTGTATTAAAAACGAAACAACTTACGTTTATGGGGGCTTGTTCAACTCGCTTCTCCCCATCATGCCGCCTATCATTCGCAGCTCTCAATATTAAGAAATAACAACTTGCCAAGGGCGAATGCGAACTCGAGGACCTCAAGGAGGAGGCACAACGAGAAGGGGAGGGGAACGGCATGGGCTCGCAGGATCGTGAGTCGTGTGGCAACTTTGCTTTTGGGGTCCTGGATGTAAACAAGCGAGGCAAATATTTAACTCGCAGGCACTCGCAGCGGTGTCTCCTTCTTGTCCTGTATTTGCAACAGTCTCTCTCTCTGTGCTTGTGTGTGTGAGCTGCCTGCGTGTGTGTGTGTGTGGGTGAGTGGAGGCTGCCACCACACAGCGAAATTCTTTGGTACTCGAAAAGTTTCCTCCTGTGAGGAGCTTGGGGCTCCGCTGTCGCTTATTTGTCGCAGCAGTTGAGCTCAAAGCTTTGGCTTGTTACACTTTATGAAATCAGCTGCAGTCCTGCCACGCCCCCCTGACCCCTTGCCACGCCCCCTCAAGCTCGCTTTTGAAGCACAAGTGTTTATGTTTGTCTTGGCGAGGCGGCGGCTCATAAAGTCCCTGGCAAGCGAGCTGCCAGGACCTCAGCCCCTCCGCTGTCAAAAGTCACGTCGAGTCCTGCGAATGTGACTTCCCCCCAAAAAACCCCCACAGTTTGGCCATGTCTCTGCCATAAACTTCAACTGGAAATTGTGCGTAATTATATTAAATTTTTATTGCCCCACACATGAAATGGAAACGCTGCAGCAATTTCCGAAAGCGTCTCTCCAAGATTATCCACATGCAAATTGTTCACATGGCATGTGGGTAAATAAAAAGCAGGTCGGAATTGGGGGAGTTTCGGAGGAGCAACGATTTGGTAAATTGATTTTAATCAAATCCGGAGGAAGCTCTTGTTTCAGTCAGTTTAGAGTTCTCTGGGAAGGAGTTTTAGTTAAATTGGTCCTTAAAAGCAAACTAATAAAACACTTTAAGCTATAGTAAAGCTTTAGTTTATAATTTCCCTTGTTAAATTCACAAAAGTTTGCTATTACTTGCAAAGCAAATTATTTATAAAACGAAATAAAATTGTAATATAAATAAATACGCAAACTTTGGCGGTAAAAACTCAAGCTCAACTCAAGCGCCTTTAATGATCTAAACAAATTGGATCGTTTTTATGTTCCTGTATCGCATTACTGCCTAAACATGTTTGGCCACCTCGCTCACCTGCCCGAAAAACTCGCCCGATTGAACAATCAATGTCATTGAATCCAATTTTCCATATGTTTTCCCTTCGGGCATGGCATTTTCCTGATTTTTCCCGCCGTTTGTTCAACTGCTTTTCTGGGGTTTCACTCGACTTCGACCGGTTGCCAGTGGCAGCCGCCGTTTGAACTTGTTTGACATTCCACCAACAATCAAATTTAGATGCCCCGATATAACCACCCGCACCCTCCCCCCTCTCCTTGGAACCCAGACAATTGTTCGGTTCGCCACAAAAGCACTTCCCCCGCCACCGAAGACCACTGGATTCCGCCCTCGTCAGCAATTATTCAATGCTTAATCATCAGAAGGCATCAGCGGCATGAATGGCATAAATCTTATTAAATATTCAAGTAACACAAAAAGTGTATGGCTGACCAGAAAATGCGGGCATAATTAACGGCAATGAGTAAAAAACAACGAAAAAACCACAAATGGTCAACGAATGTTGGCTGGTGGGGGAAACGACTATGATTGCAGTCAACAACGGGGGAAAAAAGCTGGAAAATCCGTGGGGGCAAGTTCCAGCATATTTTTTTCGTTTTTGTGTGCCCTTTCCTTAGGCGCAGCCAATGCAATTATTTCATTCCATTTTCATACACATGTGGGCGTGGCGTCGCCCCCGACGGGGAATTGCCTCTGGCTGTCGTCATCGTCGTTATCGTCTCCTCAGCGCCGGGCGACCGAAACTATTTGAATAACGCGCCACCCACGCCCACGACCTTTGAACCCCTGACCCTTGGACCCCTAGGAGCCACACATCTACGCACACATGTGCACCACATCCTGGCAGGACCTCACCCATCGAGTGTCCCCTTCGTGTTAATAGTTTTTCCCCTTTGTTACCGGCCTTTTCTGCTGTTTACGTTATCGCATGTCCTGGCTGCGAAGTGAACTTAGTCGGACCACAATTACTGGAAAATTAACGCAATTAGATTTGCCCGGGCCAAGCCTTTGATCTTTGAAGCCTATAAAGTTGTATAAAAACTGAGCACTGCAGGGCCATTAAAACCCACAATGGATAACGCTGAAAAGGTGGAGTCAGTTCCCCTTTGTGATAGAGCTAATTTTAGGAACATAAAACGAAAGCTATTTTGCTTCAATCCTCTTATTAATACATAGGTCATACCGGATAATAAAAAAATAAGATCAAATAAACATAAACATAATTTTTAATGTATTTATAAATAAGAAAAATCAGAATTATAATTTATATTCTTATGAAACTTAAAAGAATCATAGTAAATCAATAAAGCTGACCTTTACAAAGGGTTTTGTTTATGATAGATTCAAACTAGATTAACTAGCTTATTTCACCGAGCAAATAATATTCCCGCTCTTATTTATTTAGTACGTAATTTCCATTAGCATTTGAGGCCTTCCCAGGGGCCTATGAATAAAGTATATACCAATTCCCGCAAAGCTATAATTTTGTGGAAAACATGTCTGTAACGAGACCGAAACATGACATTATAATAAGTAATATCAAACTAATTTGTTTTCCCTCTCTATTTATTTGCAGAGGCACTGCGTTAGTCAGCAGATCGAGGACACCCAGTGTACGTGACTTGGTCTTTTCCAGCACCCAATCGAAAGGTAAGAAGGCGTCCTGCGAGGGTGCAATATCCACAGTACAGAGTACATATGAAAAAGGACCGGAATTCTCCATCGGCTGGAATGCCAACTAATTAAGTTGAGACCCCTATGAAACTCACTTTTAAAGCGCCGAACAGGTGGATGGAAATGAGGAGTGCAAACGGGGGGTGGTGGGGTAAAAAAGGGGGTGGCCAAATGGCTGGAATCTTGGCAATGTTTTATTCAAAAATTGCTAAAATATTTGGCAAGTGAGTTAAAAGTTTTCTCAGACGAGTCTGTCTGCTAAGTCGGTATTTATGTTTGTGTTTGTCTTTGTCGAGCATTTTTGCCTAACTGAAGGAATTTATTATATAATCTTGGCCAAGGGGCGAGGGGAACTCGAGAAGCTCAACGAGCATGACAAATTTTCACTTTGCGTCAGGGAAAAGTTGCAACAAACTTGCAACAGCGAAAATAATTTCGCTCCTCGTTGAAAGTCAAAACACACAGCTCGAAAAAAATCCCCAAAAGGAAAGGAAAAGAAAAGAAAAGCTGAGGGAAATATGGAGAGAAGGGGAAAAGGGGAAAAGCCCCGGACGACTACTTATCTGCCAGGACAGTCAGCCAACACTTTTGGCCAGGTGCTGCCAATTTGGGCGTTAAGCAGTTGCCAGGACTCTCCAAAGTGCCGGGATCCTTTAAGGAGAAAGGGGAACGAAAGGGCGGGTAAATGGAGGGGAACAACTTAAAGTAATGCCAGAAAAGAGGCCACCAAGAATCAGGTCTAGAAAAAGGCGGGGAGTGACGGCCAAAGTAATGTGCCAGGCAGCTCAAGTGCAGTGGGGCGTTGTCTGTCTGAATGCCGCAGGGGGCGTGGCAGGCATATGCATACAGACCAGGTTTTTCCAGCCCAGAAATATGTGTCAACAGAGAGGCGATGGCGAAGGCGAAGGCGAAAGTTTGCTCCGGCAACTAGTTTCCATTTTATTTTGCTGACAGGTATGCTAAAAGCTAAAAAACGTACAAGACCGAGTCGATGAAGAGCAGTCCTGGGAAAAGAGACCCGGACCCGAACTTAAAAGTATTCGAAAGTGCGAGAATGAGTCCTGCCTGCTGCATGAATGCCAGTTTGCAGATTTTACTTTTGGCAATATGAAATGGAGAATCGGGAAGTGGCAGCAGTGGAAGGTGGGTGGATGGCTTGTAAGTGGTAGGCGGTGCCCTCCTTCCAAGGACAATATGTGTGACAGCTGGCAATGACTGCCTCGCATGATAACCGAAATAACAATAACCGGGCCAAGAAAAAATAGCAACAGCGGCAGCTGAAAGGGTTAACAAATGGCAGTCGAAACTTTGGTGCGACTGTCAAAATAAATGCGAAGCAATTTATGAAATATTTATGAAGTGTGACATGGCTGACAATAAATATATATACGGGCAAAGAGCCTCTTGCCACCCATCCCCATCCACATCACCATCCTCCCGAAAAAATCCCTCCGCAGATTTGATCGAAGCAGACTCCAACTGGCGATGACAAGTGACGCAAGCCAAGGACAAATCCGGATATTTGTGCGCCTTAATAAAAATGCGAATAAAACGTGCGGACGTCATAACTTGGCCAACTGATTGATGGCTGTGTTTCGTCTGCCGTTTTGCCTCTGCGTCATTTGTCAGACACGAAAGCCGGCGGGTTCACGGGTCAGGGAATTCGGTCGAGGGAGGACAGAGGGACAGAATAGACAAGACAGCCAGCCAACTAAAGGACCGAGCACCGAAGACAGGAACTGCAGTTTGTCCAACTGACCAAGTTTTTGTAGCTGTCGTTTTATTTGCAGCTCAGCTAAATGGGAAGCGACTAAACCTCAGTGGCTCCACTCCATTCCCATTCCCATTGCCATTCCCATTCGCAATCCCACCTCGCCAGTCTGTCTGTCAGTCGGAGTCAGTCAGTCAGTCAAAGTCAGGCACGTCCGAGCTGCGTTCATGTCACAGCTTAAAGTTATATTCACATGATATGGGAACAGGACTCGCACGTTTATGAACGGATAATCTTACACGTGAAGAAAACCAGTAAATAAATGGCTGCGGAGTGCGTGAAGTTGTGGTATTTCATTTATTCCATCAGACCCACAGCAGAAATTAAAACGTGAAATGCCAGAAATTTATTCTTTTCATTGCAAAAGGAATAACTCAGAAGAACATCAAGCTGTGGTATTTCATTTAATTATGAATTAGCGTGACTGTAAACAGTTGACGTTCCCTGATCTCAATTTAATAATTATCCTCCCTACCCAAAAAGTTTCCTCTTCTTAAGGTAGCAGCCAACAGATTTATCATGAATAAATCACCAAGTTAGCAAAGTAACCAAATTGATATGTCTACATCGCATACAGATATCCTTTTTTCCGCCGTGCACACAACTCCGCTGCGAGTGATGGTCTGATGATGATGATGATGATGCGGCTCAGCCCGAGGTTGCTGCAGCTGATGGGGCACTGCCATAAACAACTACGAGTCTTCCGGCATAAAAACTTATTGTTGACAAAACCTCATGACACACAGACTGCGATGCGAGGTGGGGTGTGTACATATTGTTAAAGTCCTGGCAGTCCCGGCTGGTGTCCTGGCTGCCGCAGCGGAAGTGTCACCATTTGTCAAATAACGAAAATTGAAAACAATTTCCACATAGCAGCATCCCGACTCCTCTGGGCCTTTGTCTTGATCAACCTCAGACTTGGTCCTCGGTGTGTTTGCCTAAAGTTCTCCGATACCGGCAAACAGCGACTATAACAAGTCGGGTTCAGCCATCAGCCATCTTGGTAGGGCCGCCTTTTAAAGCCAAGAATTTACATTGCTGGAAAATATTATCTGGCCTGGTTGGTTGGCTGGCTGTGCTGCGATGTTGTGTGTTTGCCCGGTCTCCCTGGGAAATTGCTTGCGTGGCTGTCAGCTTAGCTGCGGCTTTGCTCCAATTTCCCACTGGGTCGCCGTCATCATTGTTGTTGCTGCGGTTGCTGTTGCTGCTGTTGCTGTTGTTGCTGTTGCTGCTGCTCCGCTCTTTGTCGACACTTCTGTCACACTTTCACACGCCTTTTCCCCCCGGCGAGGACTCGCTCCCTTTGCATGGCCCATTGTTTGCACGCACACCAATACAACAGCACACCAGCAACACAGCCGAGGACTCCCGAACCCCAACACACACACACACACACACAAACATATGCGTTCGTCGCTTCGAAAGTTTAATCGAAATTATAAACAACAAGACAAATTGCTTCTTGTTGCAATTTTCCTCCATCATTGCGAGGGGCGAAGAAAGTTAACGGGAGCCCGTATCCTGGCTTGTTGTTACTCCTGTAACGATTGTTGTTGCAGGTCCTGTTGCTGTTGCGAATGTTGCTGGTCATGTTATTATTGCAGTGGCTGCCCGGTCTCTCCTTAAAGTTCCTCTTACTTTCGTTGATGTTGCTGATTTCTTCAGCAACTACTGCTGTTGCTCAAGTAACTTGTATCGCAGAAAGTTTTTAATGTTGCTGCTGCTCTGCTTGTGGCATTAGTTGCTGCTGCTGTGGCTTATATTGCTGCTGTTACCTGACTAGATAATGTGGCTTAATGATGTGGCTACTGTTACCTTAGCAATTAAGGTCACTGCTTTTGTTTTCATTGCACATATTGCTCATGTTGCTGTTGTTCTTACTGCAAATGTAGCCCGTTCATATGCAACTTTTACTTTTCTTCAAGCAGCTGATGTTGCTGTTGCTCATGCTATTTGATCTGCTGAAAGTCTAGATATTGGGTTTATGATTTCAGCGGGTACTAGAACATCTAATGTTGCTGCGAGTTTTAATTGCCAGTGTAGCTAGTGTTACCTGAACAGCAAATATTGCTGCTCGACTGCATTTTGATCATGTTGCTGCTAATGGTGGCGTTCCCTTACTGTTGATGTTGCTCCTACAACAGCAACATTGGCTTGCTTTCGTGATTGTCCCCGTTAAAGTTGCTGCCTTTAATTTAGCGATGGGTTTGCTGCAGCCCCATTATCCCTGCTGTTTCTGCTGCCAACAATATTATAGTTGCTGCTGCTTTGCCTGTGTTGTGTTGCTGCTGACAAGAGGCAACGTTGCTGCTGCTGCTGCTGCCGCTGCTGCTGCTGCTCCAATTTTCCTTGGGGGAATAATTTTCTTGGTAATTGTTTGTCGTCAAGGTTTGCTGTTGGTAGTGTTTGCTTACGCTCCGAGATGAAGAACTTAAGCCGGCGAGATCAATTTGTACGCAGCTTGCATTTAATCTTGTGCAAAGATGCCATCTTAATACATACTATATATAGTATGCTCGCATAAACAGAATGATTTGAAAGCTTCTTGGTCTAGACTTTGTTATCGCCCATACATATTTTATTTAGTTCAACTCAGGATGAATGAAACATCACGCCTGTTTTTGCACTGCTGATGTTTTCTGCCCCCATTGCCACTTCGATTTGCGATTTGCTTCGTCGCTTTCTGTTTTTGTGATTCTGACACGGAGGAAAAAGAGAAGTTTGCTCGTTTGATAAATGACTCATGAATGCTGAGTGAGGAGTCGCATAAATCTTATGATTTATGCATAATCAACAAATTGATTTTTCATTTGCTTATAACGCTCTCTTTCAGCTTTTTCCCCACAGCCCCTTCCCTTTTGGCCTCCATTCAGGCCTTTGAGTAATTGGCTGTCAGCAACGCGCTGCTGCATGTGTGCACAGGAAAAATATGGGTGATATGTGTGAATGCTATATCGAAGAACAGATGTCCATTAAGAATTTATTTGGGGAGTGGAATAAATAATCAAAGTCTAAATAAAGTGTGAAAAAGGTTTTCTAAGCCTCACCCCTCTTCAATATATCCTTTATTAATCTGCTCCACCCCTTAGTTAATTTTTTTTCTGTGTAAAAAGGAAGTGTGAGATGGAAAATTGCCCTCTCCCTTTCTCTCTTCATGTGGGAAAATCTAATTACACACACATGCAGTGTATTTTTTGATTTGCTGCTTGACGACACACTTAAAAATTCCCAGAATATGTGAAATATCTCCCCAGCCAACGCCGCATATATCCATCCATATATCCTGTGGTTCGCTCCCTCAAGTGTGTGTGTGAGTGTGTGTGGGTGTGTCTGTGTGGGTTTGAGGGCATTTTAGTTTCGACTTTGCTTTGATATTTAAATTGAAGCCATCAAGTCATCTTCAGCTGCCGTCGTCTGCTGCGCAAAAGTTTTCATGTATATTTTGAGTACTTAATCCTGCGGTGTGAGCCACTTCTAATGCTCCTTGAGCCCTGAACTTTGGCCAGGACAGGAGCAGCAGAAGGAGCTGGAAAGAGAGCCAGCTAAGCCGGCATAAGCATCGCATCATGCTACGCAGCACTTATCATCGTTTTATTTAAAATTTATAATCGAAATCAATGTAATGAAGCATGCCCGAGTCAATAACTCAAGTGACTTTCTGCTCTCCATCCGACTAATCCCCCCCTGATTTGCCTTTTCCGAACTTCCCTCTCCGATATTGCGACAATATTTTATGCAAATCACTGGGCTGACTGTCGATAACGACGATAACTCACTTGACAACTGACAATAACTTATTTACACTTCATTATGCCATCCAACCCGGCAGTCTGGCTCTCCAGCAGCGACAATCCAGAAGCCAAAAGCCGGAATTCAGAAATCCAGAAATCCAGAGCCCGAAATATGCCCAGTGTCAGTGTGACTTATTAATTTATTAAAAAATAAGAGCATAATTAGAGAGCACTTTGCCCAATGACACTTGAAATGCAAAATTAAGGGGAGGTCGCAAAAACCGTAGGCCATCTCGAGTGAAGCCGTTGCCGTTGAGCGAACAATCAGCGACAGTGTTGCAGTTATTTATGAGCTCGATAAATTTGTTTATGGGGGTAAAATGGAAAGCCAGCCCGAGGAGGGAAGGAGGAGGGCCAAGTGACAAAGCAGCCGAGCGTCAAATGAAGCCAGCAGGAGGCTTCGCAACGGGCCAATTCAACTTTCATGGGGGTAAGGGAAATAAAGCGTTTGGGTTGGGATGAATCCACCGCGGAGTCCCGTGAATTGGGCCAAATGAAATATGAGCAGCAGTGAGAAAGTTAACAGCATTAATTAGCATTTTTATGAAGCACTTTCTGCCAGCCGCGGGAACAATAAAGACCGAGAGCGGGCAAATAAACCCGAATGGATGGTTATCAACTTTGATTCCAGTTTCAATTTTTCGCCACCTCAAAAGAGCCGGGGTTTATGACATTGCACCGTAAAATCAAATCCATTTGTTTGGGGTCGAGTATATTTTGGGTTATTTTTAAGCACAAAATCAGGACAATGAAAATCGAAATTTTAGGCAGAGTCATTGCCCTTTTTATGATCGCTACATTTCGGCAAAGAGTTTTTATTTTTTTTAAGAAAAACAATGACAAATTGGTTATTTTAATATGTCTAATAGCTTCCCCTCTTAAAAAAACAAAAACAACTAAAATGTTGTTTTATAGCTAATCATTCATGTAAGCGCTAAATTTAAATACAATATGAAAACATATGGCAAAGCTTGTTTGTAATTTTAAGGGAATTAATTTTAGACTAATTTTGTACAAGGGAGATTTTTATTTATAAATCAATTTACTGACCTCGTCATTCCGCATTGTATTTTCCAGAATCCCCTTTGCCGAGCGGTAGGAATACGCTCGCAATGTTGCCGCATCATCAGCGCCACAAAATGGCGGCTTCGGCGGACAGCGCCACCTACTTCCTGCTCCTCGCGCTCCTGCTAATTGCCGGCTGCCTGGTGGCGCCCGCCGAGGGACGCGCCAAGGAGGAGCGTCGCAACAGGGGGCGTGGCAGCAGCAGTGGCTCGCTGGCATCCTCCTCGAGCAGCAGCAACATCAACGGGAACTACTACGGGGGATCCTCGGGCTCCTCCTCCGGTTACGTGTTCACCAGCAGCAGTGCCGTGAACTCCGGAAGCACCGGGTACAGCGGACCCATGGACAGCACTGGATTTTGCACCCGGCGAAGGGACATGAAGCTGATGTGCTACTGCACCCCGGATGAGAACCATGTGCCGGTCCAGAAGGCCGAGTGCTGGGTCTTCTCGGAGGGACTGCTCCAGAACGACACCACTTGGACGCGGTTCTACCAGCAGAAGCGGTTGAAGGAGCTGAAGTTCGTGATCCAGAACAACGCACGATTGGACTACATACCCACCATGATAATTGAGCCGCTGAAGAACCTGAGCAGCATTGTGATCGAGTACTCCCAGGTGGAGATTGTCAAGAGCTATGCCTTCGCCAACTTGCCCTTCCTGGACACCATTATCCTGATTCACAACCACATCATGGCCCTCGATCAGGATGCCTTTGCCAACCACATCAGGCTGAAGGAGCTGAACCTGCAGCACAACCAGATCTTCGAGATGGACCGCTATGCCTTCCGCAATTTGCCGCTCTGCGAAAGCCTCTACCTGAACAACAACAACATCAGCACTTTGCACGAGGGCCTGTTTGCCGACATGGCCAGGCTGACCACTCTTAACTTGGCCCACAATCAGATAAATGTGCTGACCAGCGAGATTTTCCGGGGATTGGGCAATCTGAATGTGCTGAAGTTGACCAGGAATAATCTGAACTTTATTGGGGATACTGTCTTTGCGGAGTTGTGGAGTCTGAGTGAACTGGAACTGGACGATAATCGCATTGAGGTGAGATGAATCTTCTTTAAGGAAAACATAGCATACTTTTTGGGGCACCAAAAATGGTTTTTGAGAGTAAATCCTCTTAAAAGTTTCACCCACTTTATTTATTCTTAAAACCATAAAACGTAGCTAATAAAATAAATTATGATGTATTAGCCTAAAGTTACCTCCGTAAAAACAATCAGCTGTGGCACAATAAATTACTTTAGTTAACTGATTCTTTCGTGTAATTTCGGCCCGTAAAAATCACATTTAAGAAGAAAGATTAATTCCCAGATTGATTGAGTTTTACAAGTGCGCATTTATAGCACTCGGAATAGTTGCTTGACTGCCCTTATTTATAGCACTCCGCATAGGGCAATGCAATCTACGAGCACCAAACTTCTCAATCAACTCTAATGCAAGTGGATTAAAAAGATTTGTCTGCCTCGGCCACTTGGTCAACTTAGAGCAGCTGACTTAAGAGGCCATAAATTGCCGAGTGGCCATAAGAAACAGAAGGGACAGAAGAAGATGGCGGTGGAGACAAGGAGGACCGGGCCATAAATGGCACATCCTTGGGGCGAGGACAACCACACACCCAGACATCCACACACACTAACACAGAGAAACAACTTTTTGCTGGTGTCATAAATTCAATTCGAATGTCTATTCTTGTGGTGATTTAAGTGGTCACTCAGCATTGGTGGTCCGTTGGCCGTTGGCTGTCGGGGGGCGCAAATATGATAAATAGATTGGTAAATTATGTTTTCTACGTTTTCGGCGTGGACAAGGTCCTGCGCTGGGTCCTGGCTTAATTCGCACATTTACCCTCCGGACTCTGGACTCCAAAGCGGACCGCACGCTGACAGTCGCCTTTCGGCGCTCCGTGGCAAACAAATGTGCGCCGCAAGTTAATCTACTTACAAAATATTGAATAACAAATCATGGGAATAATGGATTTATGGCGCTCCCTTTCTGCCATCTGATATGCGGGGTCCCTTCTGTGTCCTGGCCGCCATAAAAATGGCCAGCTAGTGTGTGTGTGTGTGTGTGTGTGCGGGTAAATAGAAAAATGTCGCTTAACACTCGGAGCAAAGCACACGGACACACGGAGTTATGTAAGGCAGCCGTATGAACGTATGAACGTATGAGCGTAAATCCTGAATATCCATATCCTGGGCCAACATAGCTCCTTCCTTCCTGCCCCGGCTGCTCCTTCGCTTTTCCCATTTTACAAAGTGCTCGCATATCATGTCACACTCAGACGACTCGCATATGTGTCAGGCCACTAGGACAGGACACTCGAGAGCAGCCGCTCAAGTGGGGTCCTCTTCTGCTCAGATCCCTGGCCGCATTGTCATAGCCATAATGATTGGGCTTGTTATCGCCCACGTTGCGCATTGTTTCCAGCCCCGGATTCCAGGATTCGCCGGGATTTGCCTGTCCCAAAAAAAAAGAAGAAGAGAAAACTCCCTTCCTAAGCGAAACCGACTTTGTTAGGTGTCCGTGCCGTTGTCGCCTTCAATAAAAGCAAATTGTGTTGCATGTTTGGCTTGGGCTTCACCGTCAGCTTTCCCTTTTCCGTATTTTTTGTATTTTTTGCTCACTTCATAAATCATTTGCCGTTGAAAGGTTTAGGTCTGACACAACATAAAACGATGCATGTGTGTGGGTGTGTGTGCGGGTCCAGGCAGGAAGATAAACAGATAATCGGGTTAAGGGGCTAACTGAGTGCATTAAGGTGAAAGTGTAGATGAAATTAGCAGCTTTAATCAGCTCTCTAGGTTTGAATAGTTAGCAGAGCCATTACTGCAGTGGGAAAGGCAATGACGCAAGATAATGGAAAGTAACTAAAATGTATAAAATGTATAAAATAACTTTAGAAAGATTAATAAGGAAATAAGTTTAAAGGTCAGGTGTTGATTTCTATGTTTATTTGATTTAGGAAATCCGGAAATAAATTGAAGTGTGTAGGCGATAAATCCATGGTTTCCATCGAACCCCATTCCACTCATTAATCCCGTTGTCATAACTTTGTTTACCCAATCCGCACATAAATCGCTCGTAAATTATATTTTCCGCTGTTGTCAAGCTAATAAATTGGACGCGTAGGCATCGAAGGATCACCCATCAAACTAACAAAATATCGCAATAAAATATATTTTTTTATGTCAATCATCTGGGCAAATAAACAAACATGAAAAGATTGCTGGCTACGCGAGTCGGGGTTATTTTTCAATGCCACATCACCGGGCGCAGGGAACTTTGGCACATGCTTCCTCCGCCTTGGCCGCGCCATTTAATATGCATAATTTTTCCATTTCCCCAGACAAAGCATATTGAATATTAAATAATGGCGGAATACGCCGCCTTCACTTTCGTTGTTCGGCGAACAAAACAGAGAAGCAGAGACCAGAAATAAAATAAAAGAAAACACTTTTCCCATATAATAAAATTCAAGACAAACGAATTGGGACATACAAGTTAAAAAAACAAGAGCAGGGGTGTGATTGTGATTGTGTGGCATGTACATACACATAAATAAATTCGCAAACAAACAATGAAGACAATGACAACAACAATGGCACACGAAAAGCGAAACTCTGTGAAAAACAATGAAAATAATAATACGCAGAACTGCGGAAAAATGGCAGCATGAAAATATTTTTCGGTTTTTCCGCTGTGCCATGTTATGCGGTCGTTGTGTGCGAATAACATTTTGCACCCGCAAACAAAAAATTTAATTTCATCAAATTTGGGAGCGAACTAAAAACTAATATCCTTAACCCATTTTCAGCGAATCTCCGAGCGTGCTCTCGACGGCCTGAATACGCTGAAAACCCTGAATCTGCGGAACAACCTGCTGAAGAAGATCGACAACGGTCTGCTGCGGGGAACCCCCGCCCTGCTGTCCATCAACGTGCAGGCAAACAAATTGGAAACGCTGACGTTCTACACGTTCCAGCCAATTATGGACAATTTGGTCAACAGCACCAGTGAGCTGCTGGTGTCAGGTGAGTTTCTCTCTCGCAAAACTAAGATACACAGCTACCCAGCGACAGAACTACTGAGCCAGAGAAGCACTGAGCTGCAGAACTACCGAGTTTGACAGCCCATCAGGCGACAGGGGAGATGACATGACAAAAAGCTGACAAGTGCACAAAATGGAGCGCTGTCAGAAGTCCGAACTTGTTATAATTACACATACGCCCCGTTGACCCACGTTCGGTGCATATGCAGCCAAATGAGCCGGAGGGCCATAAACTTTTATGCCCCTCGCCTTCATTAAGGAAATGTCGTATCGCCACTGCTCAAGTGAGCACTTCCACTTCCGGCGGCACTCACGTCCTGCCACCGCCGTTTCCATTTCCATTTCCACTGCTGCCGCCGCAGCCGAACGTCCTTTTATGTCCTGGATGTCGTATGTGTCTAAATTAGTCATTAAAGTGCAATTTTGAAGTGCCTTGCGGCGAAAACGCATAACAATAAAATATCTGCCTGTCGCAACCACTTTGGTTTGGTGGCTAATAGCGCTTGCAATTAGCGGGTTGATTAGCTCAATTAAAGGTAAATGAAAATGAAATATCAAGTCGCCGTTTTGTGGCCTGTCATTGTGGTTTATTTTTACTACTTAGCTGGGAAATGGCCAAAACTAATTTATCTAAGTAATGAACAGAGTTTGGATTGTGGCTATAAGAGAAACCATGTTTGCTGCGAGTCATTTAAATGCTCATATGAAGCAAAGGTTTTTTATGACTTGCTCGGTAACTTTCAATCCCAGAACTTATAAATCCATCGAGTAAATGGAATACTTTCAAGGCCTCAGGTAAACGTTTAACCCACTTGGTGGCCACCTTGAAAGATTTCCCTTTGTGTGCAATTTTAGTAATTTTATTTCGGGCTTAGGCTGCAATTAGACTTTGGCGTAAGCGCAAATGCGACTGCCGACAAAGGGAATGGCATTCGTCCATGGAATACATTTAAATATTTAACAACAGCCTTCAAAATCACATTTCTCTCTGGAACACCGACACACACATGCACACAACTTAATTATCACCCTCACCCATACAGTGGCATTTTGCTAATGGTTTGCCATTAGCATGACTCATTTGCAGTTGGAAAAAAGGCGAGGGAAAAGGCTAAAAAAAGGACGAGTGACGATGAAACGTCGGAATGGCTGAGCGCATTTGCCAAACAAATGTGTCTGTGTGTGTGTGTGTGTGTGTGTGTGTTTGAGTGAGAAACTGTAATTGCATTCGCACACACACTCACACACTTACACGCGCACAGACATTTCGCAAATTGGCTACAAATGACTTCAAATTGCTTTAAACTACAAAATATTTTCGCATTTGCCCCCCGAAAACTTTTTAATTCATATGCAGTGATTATCCCCGCACTCTGACACATTTTCCGGCTGTCGGCTGTCGGCAGTCAGCAGTTGGTAGTCAACATTTGGCATTGGCTGAATGCTTCATTAGAGCGAAAGCCTAAAGTTCAAATATTTACATACGATTTCCTGATTAAATTTGCCCAACTTTTTGCGGAGAAGTTGTAGCTCCTAATGAGGCTAAATGCTCCGCCACACTTCAAACGGAATCTCGGAGTAATCTGAATTTTTTTCCAGATTGAATTGAGGGGCTGGGGGGATTGGGGGTTTCTGTGGAGAAATGCTGCTCAATTTAGCGAGCGAGACATTTTTCCAAGTGGCAAGGCAGCAGAACCCATGTGTCGAAGGTGGGCGGGCAAAGGATGTGCCAACTCAAGTGCATAAAAGCACATAAAAATTGCAACAAAATGGCCAAGGACACGGCAGCCAGGACTCGTTGACTCGCAACAGACGGTGGGGCTGTCGACCAAAGATAAACTCGCACTGGCAGCTATAAAACGTGACATGGGGGCTTCGAACTGGCCACATCACCCCCTCCTTTGACACACACACACACACATTCCAGTGACAGGCATTCCCTGGGTGAAAGTATTCGCCTCGCCGGCAAGGACTAATCGATCAGCTGATGGAATTCCTCGGCAGCCCGTTCCCAGGGATTCGACATCAAGGTGAGCAGCAGTCGGCAAAACTATTTGCCAAAATGCTCGTCACACGCTCTCGCTTGGGGATTTTCCAACGCTGCTCCTCCGACTCCTCCGACAGGACAAATGATCAGCATGTCCTCGTCCCCAAATCGCTGCACATGCATCAAGCTCCAAATCGAGGGAAAGGTGGAGCTGGCGGTTCAACTGCCACACTGTCTGCCAGTTTACCAGTCTGAGGTCGATAGTTGACTCTTCATTTCGCGCCGTGATTTGTGCAGCCACTTGAACTCTGCTCCCGCTCGTAATTGCCATTGACAGGCGGCAGCTAAGCAGCTTGGCCAACAAGATTCTTCCCTCGTATTGGTAAAAGTTGAGGTGCAGGTAAAGAAAAGGTTGAGTTGCAAGTTTGTATTCAGTATTTAAGTGATCTATTTTTCAGTACTTTATGATAAATTAAGTTAAAGAGTTTTAGAGTTATATATTGACAAGGAGGTTCAATTAAAAACTGCCCTATTTATATAAGCAATCACAGCTTTCTTTTTGGTTTTTAAACTAAATGCAGTTCTTTGAAAATATTTATATGCAGTGCTTTCTGATCAAAGTCTAAATACCTTATATGTTCGGTAATGGAATGACCCATTTTTTTCCCCAAATACCACAAAACAAATCTTATTTTTTTGCGTGTCCTATTGAGGAGTGACATCAACCGCTGGCCAAGTCTATTTTGCATTCAAATGTTGTCCGTGTGCGGGCAGTTGGACACTGCCCCTAAACAATGCCCCAGTTGGCCATTTCACGGACCTTTTGAGCCCGTGCCACACCCACTCGTGCTGATGGAGGAGCACCGCCCACTGCTCCATCCCAGAATTGCATTTCCAGTTCCAGTTGCAGTTGCTGTTGCACCTATGGCCAATGTATTTGGTGAAAAATTTATAGGCACGCCCTGCTCTGTGGCATTTGTTTCAATTCCGATGCCCCAACGGGTCATGTGTGTGTTTGTAAGTGTGTGTGTGTGTGGGTGGGTGGGAAGCCCCTGTATCCTGAGTCCTCTGTATCCTTTGTATCCCTGTTTATTTGTATGCGAATCACGTTCTGTTTGTGTCGTCGCGCCTGTGGTGTCCTGTTGGTCGCCCACCGCCCATATCCTGGCAGCCATTGCGAATGCTTCCGCTTTAAAGGCATGGCGAATTTTTCACAGAATTCAGAGAAGGCGCCGTCATGGCAATTGCTAATAAATGCCACGCCCCCACGCCGCCCAAAGGGTCGTGGCCAGCTCAATTGGTTCGTTATGCTCGCCGGTGGCCAGCGCCCCAGTCGTTAGATGGAATTGAATGGTTATTGTTTCGAAATATAAATAGGATTTCTAACAGATTTTTTCCGAGCTCTGTTTTTGCGCTGTCTGCCGGCCAAGTCCAAATGCCCGAACACCCGAATCCCCAAAAACATGAATGTAAAAAGCCGGCGACTGTGAGTATGACAGCTGGAAAGTGCAATTTGATTATTTGGTCCACCCTTTTTGGCTTTCTGTTTCTGCTGTCCAGGCAGCACTTAATGGAGTATTGTAAAATGCCAGAGTTCATAAATTTTCATGAGGTCAAACGGAGGAGAGCCAGTCTGCAGGAGGATGGTAAAATAATATTTGTTTTCTGGGGTTAAAATGGTTCAAGTTACTTATTGTCTTAAAAAAATTCAAAAGGAATAACACAATAAGAAAATCATAAGCAATTGAGTAGAATTCACATAACCTTTTACATTTTGTAGATACAAATTAAACTAACTATGAGCACAAAATGCTTTAAGGGCTACGTTTAACAAGTTAACCATTCTAGAAATTTTATTAATTACCTCCTTGAATAATTTGGATGCACTTAACAAAACTGATTATAATAATTACTACTTGAATGCATTCCCCTTAAAGCACTTGATAGAAAATTCTCTCGACCTGTGGCAGTTAAATTGCCCAACTAGGCAGCAAATTAAACTTTCAACTTTGCAACGGGAGAACTCATTTGTAATGCAGCATCAGCATCCTTGTAAACACAGCGCTGACGAAAGTGCAACAATAAACAGGTATTAGGGATCCGGAGGGGCAGGATTTTTTGGGGAAAGGAGGGAAAGGTCGATGCCGGAAGCGAGAATTTATTGGAACGCATAAAAGGCGTTTGCGCCTCATTGGCAAAAATGCCAAAACAAATGATGTTGGCCATAAACTGGACAAATGAGCGTATGGCACGCACCCGAAATTGACTTTCAATAGTCAATGTCAGGGCAGCAGTTGCTCCATGTCCTGCATGTCCTGCGAGTCCTTCGTGTCCTGCTCCCGCTGCAAATCCCGATGATTGCCGGCCATAAATCTATGGCTCAGCACTGTGTAACATGTGTCCAGCCAGACTAATAAGTGGGACTCCGATTTGATGGGACTAGACCGCCTCTACATTCTCCATAGATATGTATATATATATATATGGTAGGATATGTACTTTGTGTGTTTATGTGGCAAACATGCATGCATAAGTAGTAATTCATTCCGTTTCGATTCGTTTCATTGCGTTTCATTTGCAATTTGCTGCTGAGCACTGCATAAATCACTCCTCGGCCCCCCGAAAGTGTGCCAAAAGGATGGCCATAAATATTTTAGAATTCAATTTCCGCACTTCCTTGGCAGGCAGCGGAAGACTCATCCCTTTCGTGGGCTCAAATTCACGCATCATAAATTAAAATCTCCGCCGCCTGTCCACGTAATTAAACGCAAACTCATCGCTCATCTTTTGTTCGACAGTGCGCGGCATGCATTTAATTGTCTGTCCCGGCGCCGTTTTAATTACGCACCTTTTTTCTATAGCCGCAGGCAGCAATTCGATTGAATGAAAGCTGAAAGCTGAAACTATGCGCTCTCTCTCGTCCGGCATACTTTTAAAACAAACAATGAATGCCGGGGGAAATGGCGGAAAATTCCGGTAGTGGAGCCGGAGCTAAT